ACATAAATCACAGCAAGATACTTTTTGACCCAACTCCTAGAGTAATGGAAATAAAAACAAAAATAAACAAATGGGACCTAATGAAACTTAAAAACTTTTGCACAGCAAAGGAAACTGTAAACAACAGAAAAAGACAACCCTCAGAATGGGAGAAAATATTTGCAAACGAATCAAAGGATAAAGGATTAATTTCCAAAATATATAAACAGCTCATGCAGCTTAATATCAAAAAAACAAACAACCCAATCCAAAAATGGGCAGAAGACCTAAATAGAAATTTCTCCAAAGAGAACATATACATGGCCAAGAGGCACATGAAACGCTGATCAACATCATTAATCATTAGAGAAATGCAAATCAAAATTACAATGCGATATCACCTCACACTGGTTAGAATGGGCATCATTAGAAAATCTACAAACAACAAATGCTGGAGAGTGCGTGGAGAAAAGGGAACCCTCTTGCACTGTTGGTGGGAATGTGAATTGGTAAAGCCACTATGGAGAACAGTATGGAGGTTCTTTAAAAAACTAAAAATAAAACTGCCATACAACCCAGCAATCACACTACCAGGCATATACCAAGAGAAAACCATAATTCAAAGAGACACATGCACCCCAATGATCAGTGCAGCACTATTTACAATAGCCAGGTCATGGAAGCAACCTAAATGGCCACTGAAAGACAAATGGATAAGGAAGATGTGGTACATATATTCAATGGAATATTACTCAGCCATAAAAAGGAACGAAATTGGGTCATTTGTAGAGACATGGATGGATCTAGAGACTATCATACAGAGTGAAGTAAGTCACAAAGAGGAAAACAAATATAATATATTAACGCATATATGTGGAATCTAGAAACATGGTACAGATGAACCGGTTTGCAAGGCAGAAAGAGAGACAGAGATGTAGAAAACAAACGTATGGACTCCGAGGGAGGAAAGCGGTGGGGGTGGGATGAATTGGGAGATTGGGATTGATGTATATACACTAATATGTAAAATACGTATAAAATAGATAACTAATAAGAACCTGCTGTATAAAAAAATAAATTAAAAAATAAATAAATAAAGAGGCTGGGCAGTCACCTGCATTCATTTTGTAAGTTCACTCATCTTATCAACATTTAACAAACGCCTCCTATTCAAGGCAGATTATTTCTCAGTATGGTTTCCACAAGTCTTATCTATGTAAGGGACTTCCTGTTATTCTATTCAGGGAACATTTATTGATTAATTCCCTAATTCTAGAGAATATAGCCTATTTAAGACTTGTAGCTCTGAATGTACTTCATATAATTATGAACTAAATACCTTGGCACATAAAGGCAATAAAGAAACTAAAATGTTAAGTTCAGAAAAAAATATATATATATTCTAGATACTCAAAAAAAAAACAAAACCCAAAGATAAGAAAACATATTCTAGCCATTTTACTCAGATAACTAATGGAGATATATATATATATATATATATATATATTGCTTCTCTCACTCTCCCTCTGTCTCTCTCACTAGCACACACACACACACACACACACACACACACACACACACACACATACCCCTATAGTATTACTTCATATGCCAAAAGTAAAAATAAGGAAAGTCAAGAAGAAAAAATTGAAGTGATGAGCACATAAGGAAGATAATCAGTTAATCTAAAATAGAGGTTAATTCGAAAAGCAGCAAGGAAGGAATTGTATTTTACTATTGGGTTCCTTGACTCCCTCAAAAACCATTCTTTTTTTTTTTTTTAACCATAAAATAATACTTTTTTATAACTTAGAAAATAGATGGAAAGGCTAGTTATTAATTTTGGAAGACAGAAATTACAACAAACCAGTGTCTTCTGTATTTAGAATATCACAGCTAATCAGATAATTCAGCATAAACAATGACATTACTTTACTGGTGCTACCCAATATCTAGGTGATGTTAAACTAAAGAAAACTCTAAATAATTTATCTTAGAAACACAGTGGCTAGGAATATCCATTCTGGTTCTGCAAACAAAGACTTTGTTTCTTTTGAAAATCACAAAAACCATTCTTCATATCACTTAAGCAACTATAAATGGACATAAAAATCCCACATAAAACCATAAACTTCTAAAATAAGATATAAATTTGTTTCAGTAATAAGTACATGCTTTTTTGTAGGAAAAGAAAATATTTTAATTTTTACAAGGAATATGTTTTTCATTTTGAAACTTTATTGATGTGAAATGTACAATTTCAAAAGAGCAGTTTAGCATTGGTTTTGGTATTGGGTTTCAATTTCATAAGTTGATTTGAAGCCTTTTGTAAACACTATTAATTTAAAATATCTAAAATAGTTATATGATATCTTACAAGTACCCATATATAATACATTTATTTATTTATTTATTTATTTATTTTTTGGGTTACGCGGGCCTCTCACTGTTGTGGCCTCTCCCGTAGCGAAGCACAGGCTCTGGACACGCAGGCTCAGTGGCCATGGCTCACGGGCCCAGCTGCTCCGCGGCATGTGGGCTCTTCCCGGACCGGGGCACGAACCCGTGTCCCCTGCATCGGCAGGCGGACTCTCAACCACTGTGCCACCAGGGAAGCCCTACATTTATTTTTAACTAAATATCTTCTGTAGAGTTTACTGATGGCAGTTGTAAAACAGGCTTCTTCATTGAAACTATAAACATTCACTTCATCCTATAACTATGGAGACAATTTATGGGTTTTTGCCTCATCAATAAATTAATATATCAATAAAAATAAATGAATAACATCTCAGTTTTTATTGAGTAACTTTAATTACTATCATTACTATGTATCAAACATGGAATATTTATTAATGTATTCTATTCAGGGGATATTTCTTGATCACTTCCCTAATTCTAGAACATATAGCCTATTTAAGACCTGCAACCCAAAATGCACTTAATTATAAACTAAATTTCTTGGTACTGAAAGGCAATATAGAAACTAAAATGTTATTTACTTTAAAATAAATTTATTATATAAGGGTACTTATAAGATAGGGGTGTGTGTGTGTGAGAGAGAGAAAGATGAGAGATGCAAAGGAATAGGAAAAGAGGAAAATGTAAAGTTTCCTTTTCTTATTCTTTGTAAAGTCTATAGCTGACATATGACAGTGTTATTCTCAAAAGAGTGTACCTATAATAAAATTTCTATATGATTCTATACAATCTAAGTGGTGTTAAAAGAATGTGACTAAGTGCATAATCTTTGGAAACAGAAATTTGGTTCAAATTCCTGGCTCTCCCACTTAATATGTGAGTAAACTTGGGCAAGTTATCTCACACTATGGGCCTTATATCTCTTCTGTAAAACAGAGATGAAGATCTAAAAACATCCACATCTCAGGGCTGTCGTGTGGAGTCCATGATATCCAGCCTATGACCTAGAATTTGACCTGTGTTAATTGACAGCTGTTGACCTCATGATTCCTGTATTTATCCAAGCTTTGATTTCCATAAAATCAGCCTATCCCCATTCTCGTCCTATGTCTTACTCATGGATAACAAAGAGAGTGTGCAAGACTCTCACAATCTGCTCCTGCTATTCTTTCACCTTCGTCTCTCAGCTTTGCCTGGCCAGTATCCGTCAAACCAAAAAAACCCCAAAATATTCCCCAAAAATAAGCCTGTTTCAGCCTCCATATGCAGTGCATTTTTTTTTTTTTTTACAACTTGTAATACTCTGCCCACATCACCATCCCTCCCATAGATATATACAACCTCAAACCCCAGATTTTTTGGAAATTTAGGGAAAAGAAAAGCAGGATGTGCAACCACCAAGCTGAAGACACATGAGTGTGGAGGATACCAGCAGCCACGTTAGCAGGCTATAATTAATAGTTCTACAGCCAGGTGAGCCAAACCAAATGTGACAAAGTCAAAAGAAGAAAACTAAATAAAAAAGCCAAGCATGTTCACCTCCAAGGTAAGCCACGGTATGAAATGGTCTTACCTAAGTAAAAAAAAACCAAAACATAAAGAAATGAGGGTTTCATTTTTTCATTGCACCATGCGCCTCAACACAGACACACCAGATGCAAATAAAGTCTTTAATTTAGGACAAACATCAGCAAGTGTAGTTTGTCCTTTGAGATTTTACTCAGAAGCCCATGCAGCCGTCCCCAGTCCCACCCCCACCCCAGGACATTATTAGTTGCTCCTTTTGTGTTGCATTTTCTCTTTACCTCTATTGGTACCAACACTTTTTTAAAGTCTACCTTCCCTACTATATTGACCTCCATCAAGGAAAAGCCACTTTCTATTTAATCCTTGCTTACCCAGTACCTTGGGCAGAGCTCACAAGGATTACTCACAAATAAATATAAACTAACAGATAAAAAGCAATAAAAGAATCAAAAGAATCAAATTTATTCCAAATAGGCTGAGGTGAAAGGGAGGCTTTTGAGGACGTTCTTGCTGGAAAACCTCATTTATCTCAATGGGATCAAAAACGTGTAGTGAGAGAAAGGCAAAGACAGCTTCGGAGAGTTGAGAAGGAAGAGCTGATCATATGCACTATGGGAAACCAGATAAGGAGTTAACAAGGCATCAGTAAAAGGATTTGTCACTATTAAGGTTCCAGGGAATGTTTCCTTATACATGGAAAAGTCTTTTGTAGCCCATTTATGATTTCCAAAGGTTCTAAATTAGTTCCAAAAGCTCTACCTTATCCCAAACCTGCTAAATGTTGAATTGGAGTTTAGGGTAAGGGAAGAAGGGTGGGGAAATCTACTGAAGAGCAAATGAGTCTCAAGGCTGAAAGGAAACACACAACAACAAAAAGACAAGAAAATCATCAAATATATGACCCTCCTCTTTCTGAAGACTGTTGTCAGGTCTCCTTACATCCTGTTTGCTGACCAGACGTCAACACACTGTAACAATGAAACCTGTTTATGCCTCTCTTAGAGGCAACTGTACCACCGTCCAAGAAGCCATCTAGCTCACACAACATTTACTGAAGCTATTTCCTTCCTCACCTTGTGAACGTGGTCTGAGCCTTCATTAGCTTGAAGACATTCATGGATAAGTTATTCATGATTTTTATTGGTGAGCTCAAAGGTACACCTTACTTAGTGCTTTTGGCATTGAATTTGTGGACTAGAGGGAAGTAAAGTTAAACTTCTATGAACAAGGTCAGTAACATACAAAAGGACAGAATACTTCCCAGGATGGAGGCATGGAGTTCAGTTCTTGAGAGGAGCCTAAAGCAACGCCATTAAAAAAAAGGGTTTTTTTTTAATGTCAACAAAAGATGGACTGTGAGCATCAAAAGAGAAAAATAGGAGTCTGAGAGGTATAATTTAGATAATTTTATCCATCAACATATGTGAGAAAGGGACATGGAAGCTGGAGCTCAGAACTCCATGAACCGTGTCCTGGATACAGCCACGCTTTGCCTTGGATGCAACATTCCAGTACCATCTGTCTCTCTCACACTTCTAATTCCTAATGCATAAATCAATCCTTAGACTATAAATATGCTATATAGTAATGACCTCACTAAAAGTTAATAAATTATCACATAGAGTACATATTCATCTTTAGTATACAATTCACTCTACACTATAAACATTTTTAACAAACTTTATTGCTCTATACATTCACCTCTTGCCCTTTGGAGAGTCAAATCATCTCAGGGTATAATGTAAAAGTGAAATTTCTGGTCCTAAAAGGTAAGAAATCCAGAAACATGGTTTAACCAAGGTGTCCTTTAATTTCCTTGAGTCTGTCAAAGGAACGTGTAACACAATCAAATTGTTTGGAAACTCATTGTGCTGATGTTTCTCATTTTCATTTAATACTGACTTAGCATTTCCTTTGTGCCAGTTCTTGTACAATTACTCAATAAAAATTAACTCAATGAATTTCTCATTATTACAGATGAGATAGGTTCTGCTATGACGCCCATTTTACAGATGAGGGAACTGAGAGGCTCAGAAGATGACATAACTTCACCAAAGTTAACAGAGCCAGGATTCAAATCCAGGCAGCCTAGTCCCAGAGTATAGGCTGGCAGCCACTATCACCCTGTTTCTCGTGAAAGCAACACTGCATTTGGAACTTTCTTAAAAAACCTTTATGTCCAAAGTCATTATTTTAGATGTCCCTCTTTTAAACATTTTATAATAGTATAGAATATAAATCTATTATTCTTCACTGTCAGATACAAAAGAATCTACATTTAAATGCCTTACCACTTACCCCTGCTATGGCAGAAAAGAACACTGGTGAAAAATGACACAGGTTTAGATGATTTGAAGCTGAGATGACAGGTGAGCGCAGCATTAATTCCACTGGGAGAGCACAAAACGACTCTGCCTTTTGGAAAATTCACAGAAAGAGGTTGAATCACGTCACCATCAAGAAGCCTTGTTGGGGAAATCTGGGCACTGAAAATTGAATCCCTGTTTAAAGTTAAAAGAAAAACTTAGCTCAAAACATGCACAAGTAATTGGATTTAAATGTGGTTTCCTCTGTTTTTTGAATCATTAGAAAAATTAAAACAATAAATATCTACAATAATATGCCCAACTACTAAAGATATTTTTGTATCATCTCTCGTTTTCTGGTCACAATATAAGTAAAATTGATAATATGTTGATTTAACCAAGAACTACATGAGGTGATCAAAAGTTCCTTTTGACCTGTCAGGATTAAAATAACAGGGTTAAAATGCCTGATTAAGTGCAATGTGTTTTTAACCACAGCCATGCTAAAAGCATTGTCCTTAAATATGTCCTGACAAAAATTTACTAGAAATTACTGCTTGAACAGCTAAAGCTTTAATGCATGTAGACTAAACATTAACAAATGCATATACAGATATTTTTCTTTAATTTGGGTACAATTAAGCACTTGTACACATATATCATGAATATTTTTTCAATCATTACTATCAAAAAAATTCTACTAAATGTTTGCATATTTCATTATATACTATAATTTATTTAGCCAATCTAAAATGTTTGTGATTTTTAGTAGCATAGTATGTAGTATTCACCTCAATTCTAATTAATACTTGGTAAATTTTAGTTGTCAATAAATATTTCACCATATTACTTTGTTTTATTATATATGTAGGTTCCTACAGCAAATAAGAAGTGCTATCAAATGGGAATCATATTTCCCTAGTACTTTAATTAGAATGAAGATTATTCAGCTAATTAACTAGAAGAAATAAAGAAAGCTCTCAACTTGAATTAGTTAAACTCATATGGTTCACTGGATAAAACATGAAAAAGCAGTTTATAAATCAGGTTTGAATCCAATTCTGTTGCTAATTGTAATCAGATAAGTCATTAATGCTATTGACTTTATTGTATATATAATGAGAATAGGTTACATCATCTCTACAGTCCCTTTTACATGCTCATTTCATTATACCATGTTTTGTAAGACTCAGCTTTTAACTTGAGGTATTTTTAAAATTGATACCATTATACATTGATTTAAAAGCTGAAAGATTAAAAGATTAATTCATATATGAGACGTTTCTTGACCAAAAAAAAGTACTTTCTAGTACAATGTAATTCAAGTCATGTCTATTTCCTATTTAAGCAACAAAGTTTAGTGTCTACTTACAAGATAGGGTCTTGGAAAAACTATGAATCCCAAAGCTGTAAAGTTAAGGTTGAGGAACTACACTCTCTCACAAAATGGCATTTAAAGCAAGCCCCCGAGGTATAAGTAAGCACTCATCATATCTTGCAGGCCAAATGTTAGAAACTAAAGGCCGTTCTATGCTCCTCAACTTGGACAATTTTCATTTATTTCCAACCATTACATCACACATGGAACTCATTTTCTCTGGATCTCAGAATGCTTAACTGTAAAATAAGGTATTGAGCTAGAGAAGCTCTGAGGTGGGTCCAAGATCTGGTAGTTTATGAAAATAATGCTAATAGGCAATTCACATCGGTATACAAATCCTCACAATTTATATAATTTTAAGATGTAAACCAGCCGCTCTTTACATCTATTTCTTTGTATATATAGGCATATATTTCTAAATAAAAATTTGTTTCACTTTCCTGCTTTGTCATTTTATATAAAGGATATCAAAATATGTAGTCTTCCTTAACTTTTTATTAATCTCAATATTTTGTTTTCTAAGATTCATAATACAGTTGTCTCATTAGTTGAAGTTCCTCCACTTCACAGGTATAGAAATATTCACATACACATATATCACAAATTATTTATCCCTTTACCTGTCACTGGACATTTGTGCAGTTCCCAGATTTTGCTATTCTGACTAATGCAACTATGACTAATTTCAAGCATACCTTGTAGTACACGTGCACTTTATTTAAGTATAGTTGATTTATAATGTTATATTAGTTTCAGATGTACAGCACAGTGATTCAATATTAAAGTTATTATAAAATATTGGCTATTTACAATAGCCAGGTCATGGAAGCAACCTAAATGTCCACTGACAGACAAATGGAAAAGGAGGATGTGGTACATATATACAATGGAATATTACTCAGCCATAAAAAGGAACGAAATTGGGTCATTTGTAGAGACATGGATGGACCTAGAGGCTGTCATACAGAGTGAAGTAAGTCACAAGAGAAAAACAAATATTGTATATTAACGCATATATGTGGAATCTAGAAACATGGTACAGATGAACTGGTTCACAAGGCAGAACTAGAGACACAGATGTAGAGAACAAACGTATGGACACCAAAGGGGGAAAGCGGGGCGGGGGTGGTGTTGGTGGGATGAACTGGGAGATTGGGATTGACATACATACACTAATATGTATAAAATAGATAACTAATAAGAACCTGCTGTATGAAAAAAAGAAATTCAAAAAACAGTTATAAAATATTGGCTATCTTCCCTGTGTTGTATAATATATCTTTGTAGCTTATTTATTTTATACATAGTAGTTTGTACCTCTTAATCCCCTTCCCCTATCTTGACCCTCCCCCTACCTCTCTCCCCTCTGGCAACCACTAGTTTGTTCTCTGTATCTATGAATCTGTTTCCCTTTTGTTATATCCATTTGTTTTATTTTTTAGATTCCACATATAAATGAAAACATAACAGTATTTGTCTTTCTCTATCTGACTTACTTCACTAAGCATAATACCTTCCATGTCCATCCATGTTGTTGCAAATGGCAAAATTTCATTCTTTTTTATGACTGGATAATATTCCATTGAATATGTAGAATATATACACATCTTCTTTATCCATTCATTTGTTGATGGACACTTAAATTGCTTCCATACACTGGCTATTGCAAATAATGCTGCTATGAATACTGGGGTGCATTAATCTTTTTGAATTAGTGTTTTTATTTTCTTTGTATATATACTCAGGACTGGAATTGCTGGATCATATGATAGCTCTAGTTTTAATCTTTTGAGGAACTGCCATGCTGTTTGCCATAGTGGCTGCACCAATATACACTCCCACCAACAGTGAACTAAGGTTCCCTTTTCTCCACATCCTCGTCAACATTTATTATTTGTTGTGTTTTTGACAACTGCCATTCTGATAGGTGTGAGGTGATATCTCATTGTGGTTTTGATTTGCATTTCCCTGATGAGTTTTTCTTGTATATACTGTGAAGTGTAAATGTTGGGCTATGAAATATGCCGATGTTACACTTTACATAGTATTATCCAGTGTGGTCCTACTCACTGACACTGTAACTAGTAACCTGATTTATTAATGTTTGCCTACCTAGGACAAGCAAAATACTATCTTATTGCAGTCACTAATTTTTACTTCCAAGTTTACAAAGAGGTCAATTATATGTTTTCATGTGTTTATTTTCCGTTTTATCTGTGAAAGTGATTGAAACTTTTTGTCAACATTTCTGTTGAGTTACTTGATATTTTTCTGATTAATTTGTATCAGCTATTTATTTTATTGTTAGCATGATTTTAAGGCTTAAGAAATCTTTCTCTACCCACAGACATTAAAATTGTTTTAATTTTTTTTTGCCTATATTCAATTGCCTATCTTTTTTTTTTAATTAATTTATTTATTTTTGGCTGCATTGGGTCTTTGTTGCTGCGTGCGGGCTTTCTCTAGTTGTGGTGAGTGGAGGCTACTCTTCATTGTGGTGTGTGGGCTTCTCATTGCGGTGGCTTCTTGTTGCAGAGCATAGGCTCTAGGCGCACGGGCTTCAGTAGTTGTGGCATGCAGGCTCAGTAGTTGTGGCTGATGGGCTCTAGAGCACAGGCTCAGTAGTTGTGGTGCACAGGCCTAGTTGCTCCATGGCATGTGGGATCTTCCTGGACCAGGGCTCGAGCCCGTGTCCCCTGCACTGGTAGGTGGATTCTTAACCACTGTGCCACCAAGGAAGTCCTCTAAGTTCTTTTTTACATTTGACCTTTCACATTTAAGCCTTCAATCCATGTGTAATGAATTTTCGTGTATTAAGACAGGAATCCAGTTTGAAATATTCCATACAATCGATTATTCCAGCACCATTTATTGAATAGTAATCTCTTTGCTCCGTAGATCTATACTACCTTTGTCATATATTCAGTATCCATCCATGTGTGGGCCTTTTTCAACTCTATTCTACTCCTTTGCACATTTTCTCTATCACTGCACCACTATCACATTGATTTATTAGTCTTGATATTTGGGAAGCCAAGCCCTTCTCACCTTATTCTTTTTCTTCAGGGGTGGCTTGGCTACTCTTGACCCTTGATTTTTTCATATAAAATTTAGAATTTTACCTGTCAATCTCTATGAAAAAATTTATTTGAATTTTTATTTCAGCTGCATGAAATATCTAAATTGATTTGTAGAAAACTGTCCTTTTTACAATATTAAATATCCCAATTCATGAATATGTATAAATCTTCATTTATTTATGAGTTCTTGGACTTAAATTTTATAATTTTCTCCATACAGTTCCATACAATTCTTCCTATTATCTTTAATTGTTAATGTTTTTATGAATAGTAGTTTTACAGTTGCACGTTCTAAATGTTGTAAGCTGAAATGCTATTGAATTTTAAATATTGGACTTATATTTGTCTATCTTGATAAATGATCTTCATAGTTTTAAATATCTACATATACATTCTTTTAATTTCCTATACAGAAATTCAGATTCCGACATACACCAAAGTTTAAGAACGACTGATCTAGAGAAGATTTGCTTGCTTCTGCTGAAAGATAGAAGGACTTACTCACGTGGAACCATTTTAGCCTCTTCCAGATTAATCCAGGAATCAGAGATTAAGTTTTCCTATCTTGAAGTTGTCCCAATTTAAGAACAAGCTTGCATTTGGCATTTTATTACAGTTCACCACTCCTACTCTGGTTTCAGCTTATAAGAATGTATTCTTCTGGTTTGGCTTGATCTGATACCCTTTAGAGACCTCCCACACTTCTCAGCAGCCCAGCAGTTTTATATATATATATATAAATACATACATACATACATATATACACACACACAAACACAAGCTCTATTTGTTTTGTAATGTGAGGGTTCATAATATATCTAAGCCAATACAGTCCTGGGAATTTGAGCTGTTCATAAATTTTTTAAAAAATGAAAACAGATTGCATTCTCTATGGTATGTGCACATGATAGGCAGAATTCTGTGATGGCCACCAAGGGTCCTGTTCCTTAGTGTACAAACTGCATAGTTCCCACTCCTTGGGTGGCAGGATCTGTAAATATGATGAGACATCACTTTGGTGATTAAGTTATGCTATATGGCAATAGTAAAGGAAATTTCCATAGGTAATGAAGGTCCCTAGTCAATGGAATTTGAGTAAGCAAAGGGAGATAATCAAGGGCAGATCCAATTTAATCAGGTGAGAGAGAAAAGTCAGAGAGATGGTGTACTTCTGGCTTTGAATGAGTTAAATGCCATGTTGTGAGGAGGGGACCACATGTCTAGGACTTGAGGGTGGCCTCTAAGAGCTGAGAGTTGTCCGAGCCAACAGCCAGCAAAAAAACGATGTCTGAGTGCTAGAACTACAAGGATTAGTTCTGCCAACAACCAGAGAGCATGGAGGAGGACTGAGCCTCAGAGGAGACTGCTGCTATAGCCCACACCTTGAGCTCTGCCTACTGAGACCGTGAGCAGTGGACACTAAACTAACCTGGACTCCTGACCCACCCACCACCTACGCCCCCAAAGAAACTGGGAGAACAAATTCATGTTTTAAGGCACTAAGTCTGTGGTAATTTGTCACACAGCAAAAGAAAACTAATACACTGAGTTTTTAAGCTTGCTTCTCATACCACATAAAGAGATATACCAAAAATTTTTACCAGAAAATTAAACGACTAATGGTGAGACAACTAAATGGGCTTTTTGGGGGTATTTTTAATTTAAATGTACAGTTAAATATTTTAGTAGTTCACTCCAACTATAGAAACAAGTCAGACACTGTTCATGACTCATATAACAGAGACAGAAAGGAAAAAGCACCTAAAGAAAATGTGGTCAATTCACATTAGGCATCTACCTGAAATAGTTTTGAGGTAAAATGTTGACATCCATCACAGTTGTTACATCCAAAGGAACAGGATTAAAAAATATGAAAGGAGGGTCAAACAATAACTTGGGTAATTTTACCTCTCCAACCAGATATAACATTCAATAGCAAACTGGATTATCATTTAAATGTATAGGAATATCAGCTGTGTATTTTCTAGGCTGTTCTAATGAAAGAAAAACATGTTTTAAGTATTTTAGATTAGTTCACACACACCAAAAAGCATTTACATAATTTAAACCTTACTAAATATTAAGATGTACTATGAAGTTACAGCTCAGTAGAGCAGAATAGATTACCCAGAAACTGGATTTATCCTGCCAAGGAACTTAAGACTTGTAATGAGGTGTCATTGAAATAAAAATCTTTTAAAGTGCACTCTGTCTAGAAATAGAGTACGTCTCCTTACAGTAGATTTTCATTATTATGGGCAAATACACATACCTTGGGGAAACAGTACAACAGGACTTCTTTTTCTAATTGTTTTCCATGCCTTAACAGGAGCTGCCCATCCCTTTAGTATATGCAGCATGAAGATGAGGTCAGATAACTGCCATAAAGATCTCAGGGAATACTGAGAAATGGATATGCTGAGATGAAAGGAATGTGCTTTCTTGCAGATTTTTAGATTTATGTAAGGCTGTCAGGGTCGACTGGCCAATTTCACCTGGTAGGAAAAGATAGGAAATTGCCACATGGCAACTCACAGGAGGAAAGGCAGTTTGTGTAGGAGAAGAAGGCTCAGCACAGAAGCAGCAGGCTGGTCTTGGACAACAGGTGCCATCAGAGCCAGTTGCCAATGCCTTTTAAGACCCAAATCCCCAAACATAAGTCTCATAGGCAGAAAAATGTGATCTCATGAGTATGAATTCAAAGTTATATTTTAGAAATCAAAAACTTACTGAATTCTGAGTTTTGAATGGATTGCTTTGAGATTATTCCTGGGTTTTAGAAGTGTTAAAGGTTTCTGGGATAATGGAGAAGGGGGTTCCTTGTGTAAACTAAGACTACTGGGGATTCAGTAACACATGTTTTTAAGCTCAGGTATGCCTTCTCTCTCATCTGAGATGTAAGTTATATAAAGGTGTTATAGGCATGTTTAATTTTTTTTTAAGAGTTAGGATGAGATCCTAAGGAAGGAGCCTATAGGTTTGACTGCTTGGGTTCAGCCCCATACTGCAGGAAAAGGCAAATGGAAATGTTTCTTATTTCCTTCTAGATGATTCAGTCCATTTCATCTGGATATAAATGTTGATAAGGACATAAAGGAGAAGCTCTGTATAGAAATACAGGTGGTGGCTTTAGCTGGACTACCTTTTATACTATTTCTTTTAGGACCAGACACATTAGAAACTAAGAAGAAATACTAAGAAATATATAATGAAACCTAATAATTTTTATAAAGTAAACTTCAGAATGCAGGGAATATTTGATGTTTTCTATCATCTTTTCAGAGTTCTAAACAGAGGTAATAAAAGATGAAACATTTAAAAAATCTACTAATCACAGTATCCTATGTACTGTCTCTCACACATAAATCTAAAGTGCATATACAAGGCCAGGCTAAGAGATGTGCTGGACATAGACTTAATGCAATACTGTGCTACCAGAATATTATGGAGAAAGCGAACACACAGCTCAATGAACTCTCTAAAAAGCTTAAAAGCGGTAATAGGTTCTTATCCTGCCTTTTCTGTTGTTAACATAGCTAGCCGCGGGTATTTTATTAGATTGCCACATGTGTAAAACATAGTAGTGTCCGAGAGATCCCAATGCAAGTGATTTACTGAGGGAGTGCTCTCAGGAGGAACCTGTGGGTAAAGGAGGGAAGCAGAACAGGGCAGGGCAAGAAGCTATGAGAAGCTGTAGTTTTAGAATCCAGATTCAACCTGATTCCACAGGGAGCTCTGGGATATCAGACAGAGCAGGGGGAGGGGGTGGGAGGGAGTGGGTTGGGTCACCTGAGGTAGTAGTGGTGGTTAGACTTAATCTCCTTGATGTCTCTTCATGAGGTATCCTCCTCCAGCCAAGGGCAATCCCCTGGAGAAAGGGACAAACATAACCTGCCAGGAACCAACAGCCACAACTGAGAGAGGGATGGAAAAGCCCAGTAATGGGAATCTGGATAGGCCCAAATAGCATATACAAGAGCCTGTAATCCTAACATTGCTTCATAAGTAAGAATAATTAGGAAGAAAAACAGGTAAGTTACTATAATACCCTTTTAAATAGAAAAATAGTCTGGAAATGACATTTGGTATGCTTTAGTTATAGTATATAAACTATAAAGGTACTTAAGCAGACGCTTTCAATTAGAGACTAATAGTAGTATAGACTTCCTCAAAGAGAGAGAAAAAAAAGCGTGCATAGATGTTTTTACAAGCACCTTCCTGCTGTTCCTTTGCTCCTGTCTGCTTAAAAAAGGTAGTTGCCATAACTTCACTTCCTAAAGCTCATTATCTGAACAATTCTATGTTTTAATGTAGCACGGATTCTCATGTGGAGAATCTTCTGCATGGATTCTCATGTTGAGAATCTTCTAAGATATGCACATCCTGGGTGTCAGGCTCAGGAAACATTGAGGGTATTTACATGAGAACTAAGAACAATCTTATCCAAGGGGAGTGAGAGTCTAGCCACACAAATTAGATTCAAGAACAGTGGTTAAGATTCAGAAGGGATTGATGATTTGCCTACATACCAGTGCGGATAACAGATACTATCACAGCCCTGCCTCTATCCCTGCGGCAGTCCAAGGAAGAGCAATAAAGGGGGAGTGAAAACTAAAACCCACCTCACTCAAACTCTTGAAAGCCCTGACAGTATAAAGGAGCCCTGCTTGGTTAGCAGTATAACAGGTTCTACCCAAAGTGGAGATAAAATATATTTGCCCTACTTTAAGTGATATTGATGGCAAAGGTTCCACCTACAAGGCAAAGGAAATAGGAGACATAAAAGCCCTGACCATGGTTTGAAATAAAAGGCTTATACCACAGTCAGATTACAAGAAGAGAAAATGGCAGAACAAAAGTGTAATCAATCACCAATGCCTGCTAGGATAAAACGGCAGATGCTACAGGATAGCACAAAGAACAAGGACAAGATCTCACTAGGTGTGATTAAAAGAAATCTTAAGTTAATTAGAGACCCACATCTCTCAAGAGGCTGGGAAAAGTAAACAAGTTGCTTTCTGTGCTGCTTATTACGCTGTCCTTCCAAAGCCCTGTGACCTGGGGGTGAGAAGTTATGTTAATAAGATTATTGGAATCATGGTTTGCACATAAGTGGGGGGGGTGTGTGTAAAAAAGTTAGACAGTGGATCAGATTTAGGACAAAGGGATTCGGTCGGGGCCAGGGGTGGAGAGAAAAACAGACTTTCAGTCAAAAATCAAAATGCTACCATTGTAACTTGTCCAAAAGGAGACTAACTTGTCCTAACAGTTTTCTGATTAAAAAAAAAGACTAGAGGAATTTTTTAGTTATTTGAAATGTACAGATGCAGAGAGATACCTCTTATCCCCACATTTAAAAAAAATTATTGTGATAAGAACACTTAATACGAGATCTACCATTTTAACACATTTTAAAGGTATATTACAGTATTTTTATATGTAGACACAATGTTGTACAGCAGATCACTAGAACTTATTCGTCTTGCATAACTGAAACTTTATACCCACTGATTAGCAGCTCTCCATTTCCCCCTTCCCTAGCCCCTGAAAAGCACCATTCTATTCCTTGTTTCTATTAGTTTGACTAATTTAGTATCTCACATAAGTAGAATCACGCAGTATTTGTCTTTCTGTGACTGGCTTATTTCACTTAGCATAGTGGAAGTGCAGAGTCTTAACCACTGGACAGACAGGGAAGTCCCCCTTTTTAACGATGAATAATATTCCATTGTAAGGATATACCATATCTTCTTTGTCCATTCATCCGTCAGTGACATGCCCCAACACATGCACAGAATCCCTCGGCAAAGTATGGGCAACTTATTGATTTAAAGCATTTAAGGAAATCACTGTTTAATCATTAGATGAGCTCTAAATTGAGAGTTCAGTGGACACATAAGAAAAAGAATACAAATCTTACAGAATTAGTTCTGTAATGTCATTAAACAAACAAACAGTAACAATAATAACAACAAACCAAAAATTGCAACAACTACTGAGTGGAAGTGAAGTTCTCATTTCCATGGTAGCCATATTACATTACTTATAATGCCCCATTTTCAAAAATAAAATTTGAGACACACAAAACACCAACAGTGAATGATCTATATGCAGGAAAAAAAATTGTCAGTAGAACCTGTCCCTGAGAAAGTTCAAACATTACACATACACACACACACATTTATATATAAATATATATTATACATAAATTGCGGAGTTGATGTACAGTAAATGAAATGAAAAATTCATTCAACATGGTTTCACCAGTAGATCTAAACTGACTAAAGAATCAGCCAACATGAAAAAAATGTCAGTTGAGTTCCTCCAGTATGAGGAACAGAAGAAAACAGAATGAAGAAAACTAAACAGAGCCTCAAAGATCTACAGGACAATATCAAGTAAACCAATATACACAAAATGAGAAGCCCAGAGATAGAGAAAGAGAGGGCAGAAAGACTATTTGAAGAAATAATGGCCAAAACCATACAAAATTTGATGAAAACCATTAAATGAAACATGTAAGAATTTCAATGAACTCCATGTAAGATAAATTCAAAGAGATCTACTCTCAGACATATTTGTCAAATGGCCAAAAACCAAAGGAAAGAGAGTCTTCAAAGCAGAAAAATAAAAGTGACTCATTATATATATGGGATCTTCAATAATGTGAACAGCTGACTTACCAAAAACCTTGAAGGCCAGAATGCAGTATGAAGACATATTTAAAGTACTGAAAGAAATAGACTGTCAACCAAGAATTCTATATCCAACAAAATTATCCTTCAGAAATGAGGAAGAAATTAGGACATTCCCAAATAAACAAAAACTGATAGACTTCATCACCAGCAGACCTTTTCTAGAAGAAATACTAAAGGGAGCCCTTGAAACTGAAATAAAAGGCAACTAGACAGTAAACTGGATCACAGAAAGAAATAAAGAGGTAAAGGTAAATATATGAGTAAATATAAATGATAATATAAAAGTAGTTTTATTT